CCTTTTTTTTTTTTTTTGTCTTTCCAGTCTATTGCTTTATTAGTTGACGACTTGACGGGGTCAATATTATGTTCAACTTGCATCAAAATTGAGGGGTAGCAGTAGTGCAACTGTAATTGCTATAGGTGTTAGGTTCCACGTATCAATCACTTCAATTTATAGCTACGACTTGATCATAATTAATTTGATGTAACACTTGATCGCAACAATATAGGTTGAGATTCCTTCACGCTATTTAGCTTAAACCTAATTAAAGTATTTTTTGTGTTTCAATTTGTTTGTTTACTTTCATTTGAGATCATAAAATTAACATACATTTTACATATTTTATTTTTAAGAGAGAAGTATTAAAAACACTCCTAAACTAGACACAAATGATTAGTTTCGTCCCCAAACTATTGACCGCCTTAAAAACACTCATTTACTTAACTAACTAAACTTAGATACATCCCCGATCACCCACATGACATATCAATTGGTTTCAAACTCTTGTAGAAGCATGACACACTTAATAAAAAGACGAAAGAAGTGTTAAAAATACCCCTAAAGTTGACAAGAATTTAAGGGTGTATTTCAGTCATGTTGCAAGATCAAAGTGTTTTTTAAGTTTAGTTAGTCAAGTAAATGAGTGTTTTTAAAGCCGTCAATAGTTCAGAAATGAAACTAATAATTCACGCATAGTTTAGGAATGTTTTCAATATTTTTAAATTAAAATCAGACAAACAGATTAAAAAAACAGAAAGTACTTCTCACATGTGCACTAGTCACGTTAAAGTTGTTTACTTTATCTCTTTCCAATAATTGTAGCAGTAGTAATAATTACTTGTTTAGCACATGTAATCAAACTTAGTTTAGTTACTTTTGTAGGAAAACGATAATTAAATTGAATGACAGGATGAATGATTACTTACTGTCGAAAATCGATATTAAGAGAAGGGGCATTTGAATCAGCAATTGCTGCAAGAGCAGCAGTAGAAAGGACCATAGTGGTTCCTTGTCTTGTTGGTGTTGAAGTTAGATTTTGTGCGCGGTCAACGATTTTGATCTGTATAGTTTCTCCTGGTATACAAGCTTTAGGCAGAACAGAGCTAATGCAACTTATCAAATATTGTCTTCCATAGGCAGCTCCATCATCCCAAATCCCTTCACTAGCTGCTGCAAAGAAGTTGCTTGATGGAAATTGTGTTGAATCACTCCCAAAACATGCACTCGCTGCGTTTAGTACAACGAAAAAAGAAAGATATATCATTCAGAATGAAATATATAAGCTTGTAGTACGATGCACTAAGATTCTGCTAAGATTTAAGATTGGTGTTTTTATAAAGCGAGAGAAAATTGTATATATACATATATTTTTGTTCCCCTCTCTCCCTTCTCCCTGATCTCGCACGCTACTCTCACTCGCCTCTCTCACTTTATACAAACACAATTGTATACATTGTGTTTGTATAAAGCGAGAGAAAATTGTATATACAAATATAAATACATATATTTTCATCATATACACTTATGAATATACAAATACAGATCTTTCCCTGCTCAGTTTTCTTTTGTCTTTCTCTCTTTTATCGCTTTATACAAACACAAATTATACAATTGATTGTTTTTGTATATGTATACAGAAACATATTATACAATTGTTTCTTTTGTATAAATGTATAGCGAAATATACATATTAATAGCCATAACAAACATAAAGTTTGCTATGGAATGCAATTATGCAAACTATAATTATAACATACAAATATGATTTTTATGTTTGCTATCTGTGAAAGTTGCTCAATCTAAAAAGGTCTTTAGATATTCAATCTTAAATTTTCAAACTAATCGGATCGGCCAAATCGAGAGCGGTTGATCTTATTGTTCTCTATTTTTAATTTATATTATTCATCAACAAGTTACTCTTCAAACTATTGCACAAATTGGTGTATCGTTAAGGCTGCTATATTAGTGTTATCCATAGTTTAGCAAGTCAAATAAAATTTGCTGATTTTTTTTAAACCATAATTCACCTAATCATCAAATGTTTTCAAATGAAACACAATAATCTAATATTTTTTCAAATAAATTGAGCCAATACTAATTTATTTCTCTCAAAACACGTTCCAGCCGATTATTATTAGGTGTAGCAACAACTTGCCTTGTTTTCTATCGATGCACGTTTGCCTTTATATGTTACTGTATTTTCTTAACTTCATAAAATGATGTTCCATGTTCAAAATTATCTCGACATTGACTTCATCAAATTTATTGGATCAACTTTTCTAACTTCCAACACATTGATGAGACATTGACTAACATTCTTATACGTGAAATAAGGTGGGACATTTTAGAATTAATTATGAGATAAAATTTATATTGTGTTTGGTGACAAATGACAATATAAATTATTCCATCAATCAAATACAATATAAATTTAATCTCAGGATTAATCCTAAAATATCCCACCTTATCACATTCAACTTGAAATTATTTTATTCTATCTCTTAGGTGAGATAAATTTAGTCTAGGAATAATTCCAAGACTATTATATTAAGATAATTATGTAGTTCATGTATCAAATGATCCCTTAAGATGCATACACCAAGCATATAGTATAAGAAGTACTCCCTCCATTCACATTTACTTTTTTAATGGATTTATCAAACTCCCTGTTAAAGAATAACAAATGAAATGTATATTTTACCATGATACTCGTACTAATTACTACATAGTAATTTTTAATAGACTTGGAAATTGTATTTCAGTGAACAATTAAAGCTAAAAATTAAACATAATTTTTTTTGTCCCTTTCTAGATATGCTAAAGTGAACAAATACAGATTTGTTTCAAATATAATGGATGGCTAATTACTAATATACAATCGATTCACTAAATGATAACCCAGGTACGTAAAAAGTGCAAGCTCAACATATTGTTGCATTTGGTACATATACACTAATTATTTGCAAATAATGAAGTACTACTATTTACAAATCAAACGATCGTTTTTTGTATTTTTGCTTCTCAATTCTAATTTTTAAAAATTAAGGGCCATTTCAAGTGAATGGTGATTTACTTCCAAAATTTCGAAGAAAAAATTCCAAGTAAAATTAACGTCTAAATACAATTTTTTTCCTTCCAAATGCTTCTTTTCAACTTCAAACACTTGTTTATTTGCTTTTTTTCAACTTCAACCAAATATTATCCAAACGGTGCGTCAAGAAAATACTAGTTTTTTTTTCCTTCTAGACCCTGCAGTAACAAAGAGTTCTTATCTGTCAATGTTAAAATTAGAACATTTAAATTTATGAAATGTTGTTCAAAATTTGAAATGCATAATTTTCTTAAAGGATTATTTATATAGGATTTGCATTCATTATTTCTTTTCCTTAAATACCCTTTTAAACACATTTCCATCTTTTTCATAGTTGGGGCCCTTTTTTTTTTTTTTGTCATTCCAGTCTATTGACGGGGTCAATATTATGTACAACTTGCATCAAAATTGAGGGGTAGCAGCAGTGCCACTGCAATTACTACAGGTGTTAGGTTCGACGTATCAATCACTTCAATTTATAGCTACGACTTGACCATAATTAATTTGAATTGATTTGATGCAACACTCGATCACAACAATATAGGTTGAGATTCCTCCATACTACTTAAACCTAATTAAAGTATTTTTTGTGTTTCAATTTGTTTATTTACTTTCATTTGAGATCATAAAATTAACATACATTTTACATATTTTATTTTTAAGAGAGAAGTATTGAAAACACCCTCAACTTGACGCAAATGATTAGTTTCGTCCCTGAACAATTGACCGTCTTAAAAACACTCCTTTACTTAACTAACTAAACTTAGATACACCCCCGATCACCTACATGACATATCAATTGGTTTCAAACTCTTGTAGAAGCATGACACTCTTAATAAAAAGACGAAAGAAGTGCTGAAAACACCTCTAAAGTTGACAAGAATTTAGGGGTGTATTTCACTCGTGTTGCAAGATTGAGAGTGTTTTTAAAGTTTGGTCAGTCAAGTAAAGAGATGTTTTTAAAGTTGTCAATAATTTAAAAATAAAACTAATAATTCACGCGTAATTTAAGTGTGTTTTTAATATTTCTTTCTCTTTTTAAATTAAAAGCACACAAATAAATTGAAAAGCAGAAAGTACTTCTTACATGTGCACAAGTCACGTTAAAGTTGTCGTTTCCTTTATCTCTTTCCAATAATTGTAGTAGTAGTAGTAATAATTACTTTGTTTAGCACATGTAATCAAACTTAGTTTAGTTACTCTTTTTTTTGAGGAAAACGATAATTAAATTGAATGAGAGGATGAATGATTACTTACTGTCGGAAATCGATATTAAGAGAAGGGGCATTTGAATCAGCAATTGCAGCAAGAGCAGCAGTAGAAAGGACCATAGTGGTTCCTTGTCTTGTTGGTGTTGAAGTTATATTTTGTGCGCGGTCAACGATTTTGATCTGAATAGTTTCTCCTGGTTTACAAGCTTTAGGCAAAACAGAGCTAATGCAACTTATCAAATATTGTCTTCCACAGGCAGCTCCATCATCCCAAATCCCTTCACTAGCTGCTGCAAAGAAGTTGCTTGATGGAAATTGTGTTGAATCACTCCCAAAACATGCACTCGCTGCATTTAGTACAACGGAAAAAAAAAATATCATTCAGAATGAAATATATAAGCTTGTAGTACGATGCACTAAGATTCTGCTATATGCACGAAATGATAAGTTGGTTCTAACTTCTATGGTATGTAGCTTATGTTGCAATTGAATCTATGACTAGGTCTTCTAGTCACGGGATCCAAGAAGCTAGATCGATCAAATTGGATATATTGTGTATAGCCTTATTTTACAAAATTGCAAGAGACTATTTTCATCGCTTGAATTTAGTCATAGGATGACAACTCTTACTATTGTATTACTTAATTTCATAATGAAACATAATTAAGCAATGAAAAATTAACTTACGTGTGTATGGTGGGCTATATTGGCTTGCTGTTCCCAGATCAGCTTGAGATGCATAAAAGATTTGACAGAGTATTAAGAAGAAGGAAAGCCATTGTAGAAGAAGAGATAAAGGGCTTGACATCCTTAATAATTAACAATATTATTAGGATTATTATTTGTTGTCTTTCACTTATAGGTGAAAAAGAAAAGAATAATAAAAAAATACTATATAGTATTCTCGAATCTTTATTATTCAAAGTCAACGATATTTGTTATTAGTTATATCTACTTTTGATTGGAAGGAAGCTTCTCAATTAATTTCTCAACTGTCTGCTGTTTGCTAGAATTTGAAGCCTTCTAAGTATTCTTTATTGATGAGAAAGATAACACAATTTGGTAATGGATAGTCAAACTTTCAATTATTTCTCAATTATTTGTGAAACTTGTTAATTATCAGGATGCAGTTGAATTTGTATGAGGTCAAGGACATACATCTTAACTTAACTAGTTATATACAATTTATTAGCAATCAAATACAGGTAACATATTAACCAATAGACTCGAGCGGTCTACGTTGTTAGTGATGCCAAGCAATATTCCTGCGTAATGATCAGGACATTGTGAGATCATATCCGTGTATCTGTCCTCCTTTTTGTCTATTTGGCCACGTCACGAGTCCCTTCATCTCTTCAGAGTTACCAAAAGAACCTTTAGCAAGGAGTTTTCCACCTAAAAATCCTTGTGTTGAGTTACTATTCCGCAATTTCCTTCTTGTTAGATACTGAAAGAACATTATTCTTTCATACTATAGGTGACAACAAAATAACATTATTTATACAGCAGAGCAGATGAGAGCAACTAAGAATCAAGATTGATATCTGTAAACTGCCACTAACAAACCTTGTGTGTTGCATGTATTTGAGGTACATCTTATTTAATTGCATTCTCCATCTTATTTTGATCCAACGGAATTCCTTAATGGGTTGTCAACAACATTATCACTGGCTTTTCCTAAGCATGTTGATCACATTGGTATCCTCGGACAGGGCTAATGGCTATGGGGTTGACCTCTTTCGAGAAATCTACCAGTTGTATCAAAATGAGTTATTTGTGTTAGGGTTTTGCCCTGATTTTCTTATCTTATTTGAAGTTTATTTTTTCCTTAAAAGAAAAGTTAAAGTATTACCATACATGCTTAAACTTTTTCTGAAAGGAAAATATAATTCTCTTCCATATTTGATTTATTATCCTTGGAGGAAACGTATGGAATCCTATAAATAGAAGACCCCTCTTCTCACACTAAAAACACAATAACTTCCACTTTGTAGACGTTTAAGAGTTTAGTTTATGGAGAGATTTATTCTCTCAACAATTTATAATATTTTTCTTTTATATTAGTTTTTATATAATAATATTATGTTTTTAGTACAAGTTTATGTCGTCTGATTTATCAACCATATGATTTGCAATTGTAAGTTTCTGCATGACGTCCTAATCACCTTCATAGCCCAACAATTTGAACTTGATGTGGAAGTACAGAGATTAAACATCACACAGAAGTTCAATATCATTGTTTTGGAACAAAAATTAAGTATTTCATCTACTATATACACTTGTTCGAATAGTCTGTTAGGGCATGCGTAATTGTTATCAGCATGTATGCAACTTCTGTTGTTAGTCCATCAAAATTATGTTTAACATAAATTATATTTTGTTCTCAGTGGTTGAAACTGAAAATTGATCTTTCAGTCTAATGGACATATAGGAAACGATGCAGGTAAAATACGTAAGGTAGTATTCGTGCTTGTCATCAGCACAAAATGATCCTTTAATTTAATCTATAGTTGCAAGTTGCAACATAGATTTCATATTCCTGAACTCTGTTGGAAGAGAAAAATATGAGTAAAGCACACTAAATTTAATTTAAGGGGGCTATATATACTCAAAAATAAAGTAAAAATCAGTCTACAAAACTATATAAAAGTATGAAAATCTCTAGACGATTCAGCTGCTCTTTTCTTGGATTTCCTGATCACTATGGTAATCAGAGAGGTTAGTTCTCAATCTTTTGCAATCCTGTTTATGCAGTCTTTGCAATTCAGGGCAACGTAAATATGCCTCTTGAGTGTAGAAATCTGTGAGATGTGGTAGACGTTGAAGCCTCAAAGTAGTTAGTCTTGGGAGAGTTATGCTTTCTGGTACTTCATCTGTGTGACCACCTATCACTTTCTCCAAACCACTGCAATCTTCTAGCCATAGTACTTGTAAATGACAAAGGTAATCAGAAACGGCGTAAGGGAAGATATACCTGAGGTTTTCACATTGTGAAACTTTAACAACTTCTAGCCTGTGGAACATAACTAATTCACTAGGACCCTTCCATAGGCTAGTTAGTTGAGAAAGATTCTGCAGTGTCAATCTGTTCAACTTCCTTAATTGTCCACCTTGGAATGTGATGCCGTCAAATCCAAACACAGCATTGATTGAGGTTCCTGTTACCTTAACTTCTTCAAGATTTGGCATTCTTTGAATTAAATTAGGAGGAAGGAGTGAATCTTTCAAATTAGGACACTCTCCGACCTCCAGAGTTCTGACTTTTTGTAAAGATCCAGGTAGTAACTCCTCGACACAGATGCCTTCCGTTTTTTGCATGTGGTGAATGTTCAGCTTCTCCAGTTGAGGGAACACTGGTTGATTTGGTAATTCATTTCCCAACCTTATCAATTGGGCAATGTCAACGCACTGGTCTACATATAGAGATTTCACTCCATCAAAATTTCCATGGTGGTATTCTTGCAGAATATTGCTCAAATTACCACATAATTGGTAGCTCAGCTTCTCTACTTTGTGTGCTACTGCCTGCCTAAACCATTCTGGAAATGCTTCCAACGTGACGCCAGTTGCCAACCCTCTAGTAAATGAGGCCTCATGTGTTGCGTTGGCGAACCTGCGTTGGTCTGAATCACTAACACATATATCAAATTTCTCCCAATTAGGAGCAACACTATCAGGAGGTAGGCAACAAACATTCTTGATATCTACTTTCAAGATTGTCAAGCTACCCAAGGTCAATATCTCTTGGAAGTTAGCTTTCCTGTTTTCATTTGTAATTTCCCAATCTGCAAAGCAGCCTTGCATGTATAACTCTTCTAACTTATCCATGCTAGATATTACTCCTGGTGGGACATTTTCACATTGAAGAGATAAGGTAATATCTAGAATCCGTAGCTCTTTCAAGTTTGCAAAACTTTCAGGCAATGATGTGATCCCCGACATTCTTAGAGTCAAAATTTCAAGCCTGTTAAGTTCTCCAATCATAGATACATCTTTTAGGAATCTGCAATTATCCAAAGAGAGTAAGCGAAGAAGCGACAACTGCTGAGTTGAGGAGGGTAAGGACTTGAATTTTACACCAGTAAAATCCAAGACTTTTAGAGCTCTCATACCTTGGAAGAATTCATCTGGAACTAACCTTAAGTTCTTGTTATCCTGAAGCAATAGAATCTCAGTTTCAGGGCAGTCTACTCTATCAGGTAGCCTTTTAAGATGATTCGATATGAGTGAGATTGCTCCACATGAGTTGGTTAAGATTTCCCCTGGCCAGTTCTCCAATTTCATGCTTGCTTTAACAATGCTCTTGGGTTTCTCCTGGTTGTATCCTATTTGTATTGAAATATCACGTATAACATCGTGCATTTTGACAGTCTCCTCCTTATCGCCATCTAAGAGCAAAGAAGCAGCTTTGAGTTCTTCGACTGTTTGATGAATATCACCTCTTGCTTCTTTGACTCTCTCGATGTTTGGGATTAAGGCCAGTCCCATGCCATACCTTGTCAAGGTTTCCTTGGGGATATTATAATCTTCAGGAAAGAAGGAGCACATCTGGAAAACCCGCTTGCACGTATCATTTGGCAAGAAACTGTAGCTCAGTTCTATGCATTTTCTGATGACAGAGTTGAGATCATCTTCTTTAATGGATGCAGTTTTAGAACTCTGGAGACGTGTAGCTGCCGTTTCCCAATATGTCAAGTCCTTCTTGTACAGTGCACTTCCAATGGTTGAAAGTGCTATTGGCAATCCCCTGCATTCCTCAACAATTTTCTTCCCTATCTCTTCAAAACCAGGCGGCACCTTCAGATTATCTCCTGCTTTTTGAGTGAACAATGTCCAAGGATCATCGCCTGAAAGGACTTTGATTTGGATGGCGGAGTACTGCCTATCCAGATCGTCACACACATTCATCTGCCTTGTAGTGATTAAGATCTTGCATTTGCAGCTCTCGGAATATTGTGGTATCCCAATGGTTGATAGGTTTATTGTGTCCCACAAGTCATCCAAGATCAACAGGATGTTACCGTGGTCATTCAAAATGTTCCTAAGGTCATCCGCACGATCTTGCACTTCAGTGGAGGTAAGTTCCTCCCCCAAGCCATGAGCAATGTCCCCTTGAATTTTCCTCAAATCAACAGTTTGCGAGACGACTGATACCACAACCTGATCGAATTTTTTTTCCTTCAAAGCTCGACTTGCCAATGCTTTTACCATGTAGGTTTTACCCACACCTCCCATGCCATATACTTGTACGGTGCTACGCCCCTCATCTTTCAGGGCATTCATGATCTCATCCATGGTTGGCTTTCTTGAGGGGAAATAAAGAAAATCATCAGGCCGTTCAGCACGAGAGCGCGGCCTAATTGCTTGTGGTTGCAGAGATACTGCTGAAATGAATTCCGGATCTTGTAGCAGCTGCATCATAGCTTTTCTCAGTTTAACAATTCTTTTACTAAGCTTATAGTTGGAGATGCAACCAGTACTTGTTGCTGTCTCCATATCGCTTGTTAGAACATTCACCTTATTCTTGACATCTCTGGCTTTATCAAGCTGTCTATGAAGCTCTTCCCTGATGCTGTGTCGTCCACTTCTTTGGACGGCCTCTTCGAGGCGTTGAACTTTTTCTAGGAATTCTGTAGCCTCACTCTCAAAAGCCTCTGCATTTTCTTTATATTTTATACAGTAAAGACACTGTTTTTTCACCTCATCCCATGCCCAAGCCAAAGGCTTACCACAACACCATTGCACCACTGAAACTGCAATATCCATATAGATGGCTAGAACTAGAAAGAAAATATGCTCTTCTTTTTCAACTCTTGAAGTGAGTATGGATAAAAGGGTGTATTTCTCATGTTTTATAGTAGAAGATTACATTTTTCCTGC